CATTGTCTGTTAAGATTTGCAGCGAAAGCTACCGGGTTCAAGTCCCGGTTTGGATATTAACATAAGGATCCAGGTACAGTCAACTGAGTCCCAAGATTGATGCTTCCTTTAGACTTTACCAATAACGGTAATCCATTTTTACTAAATATTTCTTTTCAAGAAGTTTGGTTTACGTTTTGTGTTAATAATTATTACATCTGTTATGATTTCAGTTGTACATGTTACATGAAGTCACTTTTATCTATTTCTTTGGGTTATATCAGATACTTTCGACGGAAATCAAAAGAATAGCTCATTACCTCATAAGCAAACGCTATTATTAATTTATTGGCTATAATCTAAACTTTATTATTTATTAATATCACCACAACCTATAATTAAGCTATATTATTAGTATGGCTTATTTCTACTTGCAATTATTTGTATTCATGTACTTGGATTATCCACCTTTAGTTTTTAAAATTTTTCGACGTTTGCTTAAGAACAAGGTGTCATTTGATTTTTTCGCTAACACTCTAGTTCATTATCTTTTAAATGATTGAAGTATACTTTGTCTCACTTTAATACCTGTTTTTACTTTGAATAATAATGTAAGATTTCATTCAAAGTATGAACAAATAATAAATGAATGATTTATAAATATTTAGCATAATTTTATTGCAAAAATTATTAATAACTGAGAAACCACTAGAAACCGATGAGATACTAGGAAGATAGTTTATCTACTTTGCGCAAAGACGATGCACACCTACAGTTCGACCACAGGACCGCCTCGATTATCTGTGTTATAGGTTGTGTGTATGCTCTCTAAAACTTAAAAATCTTGAAATCATAAGTTTCATTCAATTAATCTATTAATCATTATTATTACATCTACATTAAACCATCATCTCTCTTTTTTTCTACAGTTGTTGTTCAAATAGTATACCTGAAGTTAAGTATATTTAATAATTCAGTTATAAAAACATGGTAGTTTTTATTCAATTTTTTCTGAAATAATTAAAATAATCCAAAAAATAAACCTTGTGTTTTGGTATTTTAGGTTTTTTTGCATGGCGTAACTCCTCTTCCGGCAGTTGGTTTATTCAAGAATTATGTAATGTACTTGAATCCGATATAAAAAAAGGAAATCATTCAGATATTATGACTCTTCTTACTGTAGTTGCCCGTGTAGTAGCCTATCAATATCGATCGAATACAGGTCAAGTTGAAACGAATAATATGAAACAAATGACAAGTACTGTTAGTACTTTAACACGATTATTCTACATAACTGGACCGCCGTCATAAACACAGCAGGGATTATGCAATCAATGAGAAAAAACTGATAGACTTCAGAGAAAAAAAAGAATATTCCATTAAGAAATAAAGGACACTTGTCAATATTGTTTTAAAACAAAATCTAAGCTTTGCAAAATCGCTCTATTTCTGGCACAAGCATATTCATATTGGAAATTTTATTTCCACAATAACTGTATTGACAGACTATTTGTTAAATGATTTTTTCTAGTGGTTTTAAATTTAAGACGCTTTTTCTTAATTAAATCAACTGCACTTAAACAAATCACCATTCTATGCACTGTGAAACTTATCTTTTGTTGTTTCTAGATTTTGTCTACAGACCGATAACGCTTATAGTTTTTTCTTAATCTTTAAATTGTTTGAAATTGCAATGAATTTTCCCGAACAATAGTATGTCATTGCTAACTGCAATTAGTCTGCATATCATTTCGAAGTATATCTGTACGAAAGCTTGCTCTATCTAATCAAGTCAGCGTACAAATAGCCTTACTTTCTCGACAGACAATTTCACACTAGAAAACTCGACAATATCAAGAAGTCTAGATGGTTGTTATTCAAACAGATCGTGTCAATAAATGATGTTTTTGCTATTTCCTTTGTTTTTTAATTATTGATAACAATTTTTAGCAAGACAACGAGAGCTCAAAGTCATTTTATCAAAAATGACCATTCAAAATGAATGTTCACAATTCACCCATTCGTTAGCGGTATTATGAGCGATTTTGTCGACAAAACATTGTTTAGTGGATAGTTGAAGCATGAGGACTTTTCATACTCATAGTTCCCTTTATCATCTTGAAGAGAGCAAGAACAAAGATTTGAGAAAAATAACACGAATCCATCTTAGTCCATTTAGTTCTCAACAGCTGCTTACAACTTGTAATAATTAAAATCGTAATTACAAATTAGATTTAGTCTACCTACTTGAAAGGTCTAGTTGTAAGGTGGCATGATCATACATCAATATAGTATAGAAAAGTTCAAGTGTTTTTAGTAGATTGAATGAAAGATTGTAAACAAACATCTTACACGGAAGAACATTCTACAACATTGGTAATGATAAAAATCTAAAGGTCTAGAAACAGGCGGTTACGTAATAACGTCCACCTTAGACCTATCCTGTCAACGATTGACTCACCACATCACAAAGTCGCAAGCTGGCTAGCAATAAGACACAACGGATCTGTCAGAGATAAGCGGCATATATATCAAGAGATTCACTCTGATCCGCTGACAGACTTAATCGTATGAATGTTTGTCGGGTACGTTAGATCTCCAGAACTCACTTGGAAAGGTCCCTAATTCCCACGTTTTTGTGCCAGTTGACCTTCGACTTACATTTTCCTCTCAGAAAATCCTTGACTGTCATTGGTTGATGGATTCTTTTAGTAAGCTATTTTCTGGCTCTTTCAAAGGCGTTGCTATCATTGTATATAGAAAGAACGATATTTATCACCTTCTTAATATTGCCATACAACGGACGACAGGTGGGAAAATTCAACTTACCGGAAAAGTGTTTGGAATGCTCTTCACCTGCAATTCAATACTTTTTATTGTCATTTATAGAGTAGGAAAGTAACTTCGATCAAATGGTAATAAAATTAAGAGACTTCAAAAATGCCTCACAGGCTACTGCCTCCCACAGAAATTTATTGACAAGTTTAACAATCTACAGAAAACAAGTCAGGTATGACTGTAGTCAACAAAAATCCATAATTCAAAGGTGGTGTTGCAAGCACAGTCAACAGAATGCTTAACACTGCATCAGCCATGATCTACATGACAGCAAAACTGATAATACTGTACCAAACATGTTTAGTGACCCAATCAAAAGTTGACGCGCAACCCTTTCATTTTTTGCCAACTGGATCTATAAATTTACATGTACCTGCCAAAACAGCTACGTTGACGAGACAGAACATGTCACTAAAAGCCTTCGAAATAAAAGAAAGATCTACTTTAAACGGTGTAATCACCAGATATTTATTGGATACAGGTTGATACTTTGCAATCCTTCAAGGTGATTAACAAACAGCCAAAATCCAGTCTTCTGAAACCTGACTTCTGTTCAAAAAGATAGTTGTTAATCTTCCTTCACCTTGATGATATATATTCCTTCATTACGTCATTAGATTTTGATCAGCTCTTTCAACTAACTGCATGATTATTTCTTTATTTTGACTGCTTTATAAATGTGTAATTCTACTTGAACTAACTGAGCTTTACTAATTTTATTCTTACTTATTACCATTACGTAACCACTTGTTTCTAGACCTTTAGATTTTTATCATAACCAGTGTTGTAGGATATTCTTCCGTATAAGATATTCATTTACAAACTTTCATTCAATCTACTAAAATCACTTAAATGTTTGCTATACTATACTGTATGATCATGCCACCTTACAACTAGACCTTTCAAGTAGGTAGACTAAATCTAATTTGTAATTACGATTGTAGTTATTACAAGTTGTAAGCAGCTGTTGAGAACTAAATGGACTAAGATGAATTCGTGTTATTTTTCTCAAATCTTTGTTCTTGTTTTCTTCAAGTGTGTAGAGTTGCTGGAAACATGTGCTTATCAATGTGGGATTATTATGCTAATGGTTATTTATAAACACTATTTGCGCTGGCCTTTTACTACGAATTATTCTTGAAATAAAGAACAAAAAGCTCAAGTTTTCTTCCCGATGTTAGCGCCCATAATGATAATAGTGTTTTGTTTGAATTGTATGAATACTAATATGGGAGTTATATATACGTTTTTCAGTGTTCAATATGTTTTTAGTATCAACCATCTGTCCATTCAATTATTGCGTGCTGCACATAAAAGTGTAACTGTCACGGGAAATCTCATTTCGATCCCTAAATTCCAGAGTTCGTTGTTTTCATGCAGAATGTTGAGATGCTCCACTCCAACGTGTTCATTGCAGACAGATATTTCGGATACTTCATATGAAACCTCCTGCAAAAACCACACACTACACAGAGAACTTACTGACTAAATGGACAGAAAAAAGGCTCGGAAATGTTTAATACTGTATGCCTATTGAACATTCAGAAACGGACAGATAACCCTACACAATAATTGGTCTCGTCGCCTTAAGATTGGTTATGATATGGCATTTCATCCGTCCTAGTTTAAGTGTCTATTCTAATAAATTCAAACATACTACGTGAGGGTGTGTATGAGGTTTAAATGGGCGATGTTGACATAAGGTTTTATAGCTGTATATTTGTGCACAATTTAAATTTACTTGTGACAAGCGGTGAAAGTTTACGTTATATGGATCGGAGCGTAACCTCGTGCTTAGTTTACTTAAAAAATCTGAGGTAGATGCTATATTTTTAATATTCTCATAGGGAATTGAAAACTTGTTAGCCAATTATTCAGTAAGGATCACCACTTTCCGTAATGATCAGGATTCATTACTAAGACACAACAAACTGCTTTAAATAACTTACGAAAATTTCAAACCAGTACAAGTTTGACAAGTGTAGTCGTTCTTAGTAACATTATATAATATATAGGGAGTCAATTCATGACTTTTGAACACAATCACATTATTTAATGCAACAAATCGATGATTACTACGGTGAACAAAATAAGAATGTTGAATTTTTTTTGCTAACCTATACTGCCTCATCAATTTCATTGTCTGAATTCCCGTTTGTCCTAATTAAACCAGTGCATGCTTTGTAACATATTCATTTATTGGAACGTACACAGTAATTTTAATGTAATGAAAGCAAGATGATACAAATTACAAATCAAAATAAAAAAAAAAGGATAGCAAATTTCAGATTGAGCATTCAATTCCCTAGACATGATAAACTATAACCGATTATTGATAACACAGCAGTAAGATTATAATCAATTTGTATGTCTAACGCACACATAGAAAGAAGATTGAATATTTAAAGCTAATTAACTTCATTGTCCTAAGATGCTTGATTGATTCATGATATTATAAATAATACATGACAAACTAAGGATGAATAAAATGTTTCACTTTTCTGATTAACTAATGAATTTGGCTGTGCATCTATCTATCTGTGTTGTCTTTCAATCACCCCTTCAAAATACAGTATAAAGATAATTAATCTTAAGTATTTAGTAAATATAAATTGATGAAAAATGATGATTGTATCGTTTAGAAGAGAGTGATTATAACAATGATAAATAATCTTATAGGATAAAACAAAATAATAATAATAAATGAAATTTAGGAAAATATTACCGGACAGAGAAATTTCAATGAAGTTTTGAGTGCAGATAGGGCGAAAAATTGTATACCATTCAATTATCTTAAGCAATTTTCTGTATCTTGTAAAACATACAAACTTGGTGAACATACAATATCACGACGAATTAAACTTCTAGCTTCATTTATTTTTAAGCCTAAAGCATGATTACCGAATTGACGACATACACCACAGATACAACGAATTAATTCATCCAACTGTAATAAGCTTTTAATCAATAAACCTTCTGGTAGATCACATGTTGATAATGTTGCTGGAAATGAATAACCATTAGCCCATTTATGGACTGATTGAACTATTTGTAGATTTAATCGACTTTCCAAATATGGGTCAGTTAAATGATGAAGTCGTTGTAACTTTTCCAACTAGAAGATAATTTATTTTTGCATTTTATTTATAGAGACAGAGAGAGAGAGAAAAAAAAATTAAAAAATGTTTAAATAGAAACAGATTACAATCTGCAACAAATAAACACTACTGCAGATTGTGCTAAGTGTCTTCAACTATTTATTTGATAAGCTACAATACCGTTTTATATGTTTTTAATTCACATCATGATTTTTTTTTACTATTCGATAATATTTGCTAAAGTGCAAATTGGTTGGAAGAAAATTAAAGGTGCTTAAACCAAAGCATAGCATCAGTTGATAAAGTCCTTAGTTGTTGGACTGTGTTGTCTTAGTCAATGTGGATTACCTGACAAGGGCCTGAGAGATGATTGTAACCAACGGATTAAAGATATTAGAGGTAAAAGGTTTATCCTTCACAGTCTGTTTCCTCTTTTCGCTTTAGATTAGTTCAAATTTTACCCACCAAAACCAGAAATTATCGGACGTGTCTAAAATTTCCTTTTCATTTGTGTCTGATCCTGAAGCAGTTTTATGCTTCATTAATTATGTTATAGTAGATCAATGTAATACTTTTAATTCATCAAATGATTGATCATTTTTATTGGATTGTATAATTTATACAGTTAACTTACTTCATAGGCACGGGTTAAAATAGTTTTGAATACAGGCAGTAAATGACGCGGAATATGTTTTAAATCTTCATGACATTTAAAATTAGTAGTAGTCGTAGTATTACAATTTATTGAATCAATTAATACTTGAAGATAACAACTACTTGCTCCTTCGCCAGTAATATCTTGTGCTCTAAGTTCACTGGCAAATGCTGAGAGAACAGCTGCAATGTCAGGCGCTAATAGATTGTCAATAAGATTATCGAGTAAGAGTTGTGTCAATAAAACTTCTTTGGTCATTAATTCGCTTGCGAAGAAACCTAGAAAAAAAAACATACGAACAGAATAAAACAATTGCGTTGTTTCAGATAAATAAAAACTAACCAATGCGCTTAGTACTAATACAACTATTATTAATTAATAGTAATAAAACAATATCTAAAATCTGTATGCAAAAAAAACCAATTATTGAAATAACAAAAAACTGGAATCACTGCCGGTCTCAAGTTTAGATAAAGTAGGAGGAGGAGAAGGGTTGGGCTTGAGAGGTTAGTGAATCCATCCGGTAAGAAATCAACTAGCTGAAAAACTAATAAAAACAACACTAATAAATTGACGACCATTTAAAAACACAAGATATGGTTTTTTTCCTCCTCTGTAATTATTTGTACAAGTTGAGCCTAGTGTCATTGTAGTGCCTCCACATTTATTTGCATCCGCTTACATTTAATTTGCTTGAGCCCTTTCGATTAATTTCTTTAACCAAGCCATTTGCGTAGCAACAACGTGTATGTACCATTGGCTTTTATAATTGTGTAGTTTGTATGAGCTTGTATGACTGAGCATTGCTTAACGCCTACGCGCATATGCATTCTATTCGCTTTAATATTAATTTCTTAAATACCACGATGACTCAGACATTTTCCTTTGTATATATACGAACATTTTAATCTTATTAATTCATTCGCATATTCGCTCGCTAGTCTGTGTTCTGCTATCCTCATTTGTGGTGTGCCACAATAAACGTATACGATACTTCGAATTCATCTTCTGATTTATTAACCGTCAGACGTCATTTAGTAACGATAGTCTGAACGAGCTTAATACGAAACTTAAGAACACCTCGAAATCTGCACACTACAAATTGGTGAGCCCGATGTGATGAGTACGTTAGATTCAACGGCGGGCTCACCATTTTGTGTGATGGCCAATTTTTTGACGTCGGGCTCACCATTTTGTAGTGTGTCGATTTACTGCGTGTTCTTAAGCTCGGTAATTAACTCGTTACCAATAGCGTCTGACGGTTTATAAATCAGAAGATGAATTCGTAGTGATGAATACGTTTATTCGGGACACACCACAAAGCGCAGCGGAGAAGCAGTGAATAAAACGAATGAAGCAACGTGAACTGGAGAAGGCTTTGAGCCAATTTCTTGGATTACAATGCGGACGAACGGGAGAAGTATGCGATTTGGAGAAGGCTAGTGAGCCAACTCAAAGAGATAGAGCATGACTAAGAATATATAGTCAGACAAAAATAAGACAGACATATGACAAGCGAAATAGGCATGCACAGACATGAACAAAAGCGACGAATGACTGACAAAGTCAAAAGCAAGCGAGACAAGTCATGTGAGTTCATAGGGGTATTTAAGAGATTAATATTAAAGCGAATAGGATGCATATGCGCGTAGGCGTTAAGCAATGCTCAGTCATACCAGCTCATACAAACCACACAATTATAAAAGCCAATGGTACATACAAGTTGTTGCTACGCGAAATCGAAAGGGCTTAAGCAAATTAAATGTAAGCGGATGCAAATAAATGTGGAGGCACTACATCATGTTCATGAAGTCAAAACCATGTTTGCAATTAAATTGATAATATATATATAATGCAATTCGAAGCAAAATCGTTTATAACAATGAATGTACACTGAACCACGTTGTTTTGAAAACTAGTATCAATGCATAGAGTCAATAATATTTTATTATGAATAGCATTATGAAGCATAAGCTTCTGACATTAGCCACCAACAATAGTCGATATTGCGGTTAAACGTTATGATAATCATACTGGAGTAGTTGTATTCAGTAATAATTTTAAGATAACTGTGAAGCATTTAAAAATTCCCTGTATATGTAGTTGGTTGGTGGAAATCTGTTCAATTTAAAAATGACGGACATCAAGATTCAGTCAGTTAATTACAACGTAGAAATTCGTATGTACATACACAAGTTCAGATTGCCATACAACATTAGAACAGAGACGCAATTATCAGTCCAAATTCCATAGTGGTGGTCCGGCTTGCATATCGTGATGACCTACCGAGCTATATTGGCTGGAACATGCGTTCCTTTAGGTTCTACCATTCTAGGTAAGCCAATTGGAGAATGGTAAGACTAAAAGCATCGACTCTTCGGAGAGAAAAGTCGTACTGCTGACTGTAGAGCGGTATGACAGCAGTAAGGTGTTTAACTTGGACAACCAACATCTGCAGAGATTCTGTCTTCTCACAAGAAAGGAACGAAGGGTTACAAAAGGTCAACCCAAAAAATTTCACAACTTACCTCAAGAACTTCCGTATCTGGCGGTAAGGCCTTTTAAACAAGAGCGGAGCTAACACTTAAAACTTCTCACAAAAAGACCGTGCGTAATCAGCTTCAAGCAGTTGTACCTTGGGCTCTGCGGTTACGCTCCCAGGTCTCTAAGACCGACAGTAATCTAACTTCCTTTTCAGATTCCTCAAGAAACACTCACGGTGTAGGCAGCCGAGAAGTTACATCCACCCTTATTCCTATAACAGCACACGAGACCAAATCGGTCACAAAAAAATCCTTCCTACACTTCTTAATAACTCTCTTATCTCCAGTACCAACCGTTCTTTCATTCGTTTGCCAACTTGCATCGCTGATTCAAACGTTTCTAGTTCATGGAACGATATTCCTGATCTCCTGAGACCCCATTCTAAAGTACATGTTGAAGCTTTTGATGTTCGAACCTTGTGTTGTATAGTACAACAATGTTCCTATGTTACGAATCTAGAATCTCGCGTCATCCATATATGTTGCTCGAGAGCGAAAAATACAACGCCTTGAGAATGAAACCATAGAGATATTATAAGTCTTTTTACTTGAAAGAAAGATGGACAAACTGAGTGAACAGGAAAACAGTGAAGTATGAATTGGATTTAAAGTTCACTGATTGGAAAATGTCGGAAATTTATTATTCTAATTTAGCAGAAACAAATATTTCAGTGTACAGAAATCCAAATGAACAACTGTTAAACATCTGGCACCCATCACTCAGACGTAAATATGACTTTCCTCATATAACAATATAGGATTCTTAAAACCAATTGATCATAAAATTAGACTACTTTTGTCTGTTAACAAATAGAGTACCATTTTGCGACAAAATAAAATGTAATTAGATCAAACCTTCAAAAATTAAATATCATTTTTAGTGTAATTAATTTATTTGTAAAAATAATTTAAATATAATTATTTTTTTACGAATTATTAATCAAGTATTATTCACATTTGTTACAGTAAGATCTCATTTAAAATATCAATTAAAATCAAATATCTATCAATCTAGGACGAAAGGAACGTACGAATTCTTCGATTAAATCCCTCGAAAATGTTCATGAAGTTCTATTAAGATATCCTTCAGATATATTGGTAGGCAAAAAATCATCACTAAATACTGGTGCTATTATCGTAAACTGATTTTAGTTGAAATTGTACCAATGGACGAACCCAGTGATTTTAATGATCAAGTGTTCACAGTGCAGTCTCAAGCTCTTGATTTCAGTCACAGATAGGGTCGTGGCCGCTCATCAATGACGATTTACATACTAGGACGAAAAAGCTGTTTAGTGCTATCTCCCTTCTGAAAGTACATCAACTGAGATTAATCTGTGACCAATGCAATCTACAAATTCAACTTAACTCCACAAAACCCTGTCAACTAAATCATGATTGTTTAGGGTACTATAAATTTCTTCTTACCTTTAAAACTAAGACAATAGCTTTGTGTAGTCGAGTCAATGAATCCAAGCTCTTTTAAAACATTCAAACGTCCTGTATATTCATTAGAAAGTTGTAACTGATAATTAGCTAAATTATTTTGAATATTCTTGATAGCTAATTTGCGACGAATTGTTTGATGAACAAGATTTAAATGTTGTAGTAAATTTGGACATTTCAATAGATTTATTAAATTCAATGTTGTTATCGTATCATTTGACAGAGGCATTGTTAGCTGATCATTTAGCGTACAATATGCATCAAATAAACAAATATCCTAATAATTAAACGAAATATAAATTGAATTACAAAAGCGTAATAAAACAAAATGTTAAAAAGACAAATTAAAAACAGTAAAAATGTTCATCTATTTTTTTAAAACAACCTCGCTTCGCCTAAAGTCAATACCCGTTTATACACTAGGCTACGTAGACATGTAGTGGGGGTGGGGGTTATACACTACATTCTAATAACTTGGGTTATGATTTGGAAAATAAAAAAAATTATATATCAAGGTCTAAACAATAAAAATTCAATTAGTTTCATGATGATCATTTATTCACCTACAATCCATAATCTGAAATAACGGACGATCAATTGCAATCGAAACTGAACTATTGACGTGAATGAAAATGTCCATAGTTGGTTTATGGTGACATTTTAAAAGTAAACAGCTAGAGGAATTAGGATAGCTTTTCTTATTATAGATAAATTTTAACGGTCCAAATAGTAGAATTCAACGAATCATGTACCATGCAAACAGATAAATGGAAATTAGTGAACCGATGTCATATACAGCAGAGAATAACGACCATTGATGATCGACTAATAATTATGCTTAATATGGGACAGCAAATTAAGACGGGTTTTTTTTACAAGAACTCCATTTGATTTACCGTTTTTAACACTGTAATATGCATAGTTGGGTTACAGCATTTACAATAGTCTATAACTCAAACAAAATCACGAAAACAAACAATGTAATTATTTATTTGCCAAACATAATATACCATAAACCACTAAGTCCAAACAATTTTGCAACAGCATGTTATTACGAATAGAATCTTGTGGATACAGTTTTATAGATCTGAGTGTTGTGTCTATAATCCTTTGCTAATATCACGTGACAAGAAAACCAATCAGAATACGAGAACGAGCTAATGACCTCTTATCAACAGCCACTTCCCTATTGGTCCAGAATCCTCACCCTGCTTCCGTTCAATCCAGAAGTCCACTAGTCGAATCACTTATTTCATACACAAGTGCTTCATACACAAATATAGTTCACCACATCACACCAATAAATCGAAAGTAACTGATACAAAAACAAGCTTTCAATCGGGGAGGCTGCAGATGATAAACTAGCAACAGATCACAAATAATCAATCGTACAACGGTAGTTGATGGGTTAATCAAGAGCTCAGGATATATATATATAATCTATCTGCTTATTAATAATACATTGAGGATATATATAACAAGTTAATTCTAAGTTACCATAATTTCAGTCTATGCTCTGATGTAAAATTAAGATAGAACTATAAACAGAACCACATCCCGCAAAAAACTAACGCGCTAAAAAAGCTAACAAGAAGAAATAATTCAAAATATTTAAACTATGCTCTGGGAGTTAAGAGGTCTTTATTTAAAAGAGTTTTGATGTCTCGTGATGAAAGCCGAGTTCTTTCGGAAGTCATGATGCCGGTATAGGCAGCCGGGAAGTAACATCCACCCTCATACCGCTATAAGCACACCAGACTCCATAAATCAGATTATAAATAAATGTATCATTTGCAAAAATTTTTGCTGCAGGATTTAAAGTTTTTATATGTAAATATATGGAAAACTTTCCACAAATACTTGTTATAAACACTATCGAATAACCGTAATCCGATGCTTGGCTACTGAATTTATTCTTTAAGTAGTCAAAATTAACTAACTTCAGTTTTGCGTTTTCGGACTGTGAATTGGTTAAAGATAAAATACATATAGGAATGGGTGATTATTTAGAAGTGTGAGAATTTAGCGCTAGCCATGTGACCTGCAGGTCATCATGAGTTATACCTCTGGTAAGATCGTGAATGCCCATTGCTAAAAAGTCACATACCATTATTACTAATATTAAACAACCTGTACTGCTATTCCTTAGTTTTCAGTTTACAGTAATACCTAGCCATTCCGCAATGTTTCATTGGAATATAGATAAAAGCTGATTTGAAAAAATAACAATAATAATAATAAGAAAACTGAATAGTTAAAGCAACTACAAGTGGTACCAGTCCTTTCAAAGCTATATTTTATTACTCATAAATTGTGTTTATACTTCTTTTACTCATCTCTGTAACACATGTATTTGATAGTCCCTTAAATAAATAAGATTCGGTCCATAAAATTAATGCATGTACCAGATAAATGGAATAGATTAATTATCGTTTAACAATGAGTGGAATTTAGGAAGCACATTTCATTCTATTTCACAGTCTTCATCAGCTGGACCCACGTGATGTTTAAACTTAAACTTCAAACTCTGATGAGCAATCTACCAAGTTCCTGTAACCATTAAGCATATTAAAAAGTTATAATATTTGTTGTATGACAATTTTGATAAAAAGTTTCATTATTTTATTATTACTACTCAAGATTGATCAAAATTCAGTCCAGAATATTAAAAAAAAACAAAAAAAAAACGGCACAATTCGAATTGTTACTATTGGCTAATATGTAATTTCTGAAATAGGAAATAGGAAACACAAACAAACCAAAAATGTAGAAGAAAAAAAAGAAGATGGTCATTCACCTCTTCATCGGTTATGTTAAAATTTAAATCCTTTCTAAAATCTATTTGTTTTGGTATATTTTTTAATGTAGTGTAGTAATTTACAGATTTCTTTGGTATTGTTGCATTCACACAATTGCAAAGCTCCAAATTAATCTCTTTTAAATGATCATTACCATTAACAGTTATTGATGATAATTTGACATTATTTTTTGTCTGATTATTTTTTAATTGTTGATGATTATGTTGTTTAATGCTTTGTGATAAAATTTCAGATAAATGTACGTTGAATTCGAAATTGTCATCATCATTATCAGTTGGATTGGATTTATTGCTTTGAAATGTAACAATTCGATTGCAAATTCTCACAAGTGAATCACTCAATGAAATGGATCGATGTGTTAAACGTGAATATCCATCTTCTAATGACTACATATGAATAGCGATATAAATATGATAGCAGTATAATAATAATAATAATAATAAAAATAATAATAATAATAATAAAAACAGTAGTAGCAATAGTAATAACTGTTGTAACACGGTATCACCTTACCTTAAATGAGGATTACAAGTATAAGAATTGTTGTAACGCTTGCTTAAGATATTACCTGGCTAAATCTTATTGCTTAGTATTCTTAACACAAAACACTGGACAAGTAACCCAAATCAAAACACGGTTGAACAGGAAGATTATATTCCAAAATAGCAAGGAATAAGAAGCTGGAGGTGATGGCGAAAGCCAAGGCAAAGAAGGCAAGAAGGCAAAGATAAATACAATGCAAGTCTATCTATAGCATTTACATCAGAAAGCTTCTGGAAGAAAATTCACGTGATCGACTGGACTGGATTTGACCAATCAGCATGCAGCTAATAATACGAGAATTTTCTATCCTGTTCTCCAAGCTTCGATCAGGCGCTGATGGGGTAGGAATTCAGCCAATCAGCGCGCAGCAACGAAGTCATGCTTTAATTCCATCTATGTCACACCAACACCTCCCCTTTGAGAAGATTCGTAGGATCTGGTGCTAGGGTCCAACTGCAACCGAGAAACTGGCTTGTACTTTCGATTAGTCCATCTTCTAGGCAATAAGGAAGTTGTGTCACTCTTTTCTTGCACAGAAACTGACTTGTGTGTTCCAGGCGTTTTGATTTCGAAGGTGTCCAGCAGAACGTCAAGGGGTATTCGGTGCCGAGTCCCGTTGCTGGCTATCGAAGTTGCTTTCAGTTGGTTAGCATGACGTACCCAAACTTCTGAGCCAGCTGACACCCCATAAGTCACATTCCCTTTCTTTTTTAAAATCCGACCAGCTGTCCATGTAGGATGTTTTCCACGATAGTCCCTAGCAAGTACTTTCTGGCCCACTGTGAACGATGGTCTTTTTGCCCCATGGTGTCGATTGAACTGCTTCTCCATCGACAGGTTTCGCTGAGGCTCAAGAGCTGGTGTAGGACGGATGACATCAAAATGTGTTCTACCAAGTAGAGCTTCCGCAGGTGAGACTCCGCCAATCGTCTGAGGGTTCGGTGTAGAGTGATAAATATGCAGGAACCTCTCTAAGATCTCTTGGTGGTCCCCCCCTTTGGATTTTTCTAGAGCATTTTTAAATGTGCTCACAAAGCGTTCTACTTGACCATTTGATTGCGGATGGGATGGAGGTGTTCGGACGTGATAGATTCCGTTCTGCCGGCAAAATTGCGAGAAGACTGCGGACGTAAACTGTGTCCCGTTCTCAGTAACTATCGATTCCGGGACTCCGAAACGGCTGAATAGTTTACGTAATTTACTGACTGTGCAGCTTGCAGTTGGGTGTTTCATGAAGAGAATTTCTGGCCACTTACTGTATGCATCAACTACCAGAAGGTAAGTTTGTCCATGACGTCGGCCAGCAATGTCCAAATGTATACGCAGCCACGTTGACTGTGGTATTGGCCATGATTGCAACTCTGCTTTGCGCGGTGCTTTTGTTGCTAATGCACATTTGGTACACGAACGGAATAGCTGCTCTAGCTGGGTGTCTAAGTGCGGCCAGTATACATAACTTCGTGCTAGTGCTTTCATGCGATTTATTCCAGGATGTCCCACGTGCAACTGTTTTAGCACTGCTGGTTGTAGCTTCGCTGGAATTATGACTCGTTCGGCAAACAGCAGGCAGTCGTCGATGATTGAAAGAGAGAGTCTACGCTGGTAAAACTGTTGAAGCTCTGAAGAGTTGATCTTCGAAGGCCAACCTTCCAGGTGGAACTTTCTAACTCCTTGTAGAAGTGGGTCTCGAAGAGTTTCTTCTCTGACTTCCTCTGACGACACTAGAGTGTTTCGAATGGCGTCTGCTACTACACTCCTTATTTCTGGGTCTACTGCTGTTGAGGCAATGATTATGTCCTCTGGTTCAGGATGCTGAACCCCAATTAATCGAGAGGGAGCGTCCGCTTGACCGATAGTATTTGTCGACTGACACTTGATATTGAAATCATAACTCAGGAGCATCGTTGCCCAGCGCTGTAATATATTAGCCGTATAGACGGGGATTCCTTTCTTAGAACCAAAGATTGCAATCAAAGGTTTGTGATCTGTCAGTAGCGTAAACTTACGACCATAGAGAATTTTATGAAATCTTTTGGCAGCGAAAATAATTGCAAGAGCTTCTTTCTCAATTTGACTGTAATTTCGCTCGGCTGGGGTGAGAGATCTGGAAGCATGGGCAATTGTTTTCTCTGATTTATCCGGAAACACATGAGATATTACTGCTCCAACTCCAACTCCAACTCAGCAGCAAGCTGTTCATCGTTCCCGAAGGTATCCCCTCAGACAGCGGCGAACAATAGTCAAGATGCAAGTCAACCACAGGAGAACACGCTATTAAAAAGGGGAGGAGTGTTGGGGATGTTAGATCCCCAAAATTCGCTTGATAATGCCGTATTTCGGTTTTCACGTTCGCCAGCAGGGGCTGATCGAATGACCTTGAGATTTCAATTCCCACCAGGAAAATCAATGGCTGTGATTGGCTGCTGTGTATTTTAGTATGCTATTTTCTTAACTGTCTCAAGGACGTTGTTATGTTGTATAAATAAACGAGAGTTGTATGCTTGATTGTACTGGATTGCTGGGTGTTTGTAGAATATACTTTCTACTCTTACCAAGACTTCTGTTTTCCCGTTTGGATTCAAGGCAGCCTTCCTGGAAGCTGGTAAAAGTCTCGTTCGCGTTTATCGACTAAGGTAAACTCGTAATAGCCTCAAGCATACTAAGTGACGAACATATCAGTGGCGACGGGGCTCACAATTCACAATGTCAATTAACCTTGAACAGTTAGAATCTTTACTGGAACGTCAAGGTAAACGATATGAACAGTTCCAGGAACGTATGTTGGAGCTGTTAATAAAACAAATGAATTTGAACCCACGAGATTGTTCGTTTTCTGAGACTGTTCAGACTTTAAGCCAACACTTTGGAGACAACTCGTCACTATTTAATACTCGTTATCGATGTTCGAAGCTTATTATGAACGAAGATGATGATTTTCTTACGCACGTGGGCATCGTCAACCGTGAATGCGAACGCTTTCGGTTGAAGTCTTTGTCGGAAGACCAGTTCAAAGCCCTCATTCTCATCTGCAGCCTCCAGTCGAGTAAGTTCAGTGACATTAGAACAAGGCTACTAAGTCGGTTGGAGCAAGATCCAAAGCTTACGCTTAATGATATGGCTCATGAGTACCAACGTCTCACTGACCTACAACGAGACTCGACTATAGTTCAGAGTGGTAGTTCAAGCCGATCTGAAATTCATTTGGTACAGCAGCCACCTAATCATTATAAGTCTGCCCATGCTACACCCAGTTCACCCCGCTCCAATTCGGCCCAAAAACCCAAAATGAATCCACCTTCTGCTTGCTGGCACTGCGGTTCATGGCACTATGTACGGAACTGTCCATTTAGGCAGCATAGATGCAGGAAGTGTAAAGTCATCGGTCATAAAGATGGCTTTTGCCTACAGAAAAAGCCAAAGCGATCCAGAAGTGCTAAGAAGCCTGTTCCTAGATCCAGTACCAATGCATTGAGCCTAATATCTTCCTGCCAAAGTTCATCACCAGGTGAGAGGAAATTTATTACTCTTAATATTAACGGTTATTTGTGTAGAATGCAAATAGATACTGCATCTGATGTCACTATCCTCTCACGCAAAAATTGGACCAAGTTGGGCAGCCCAAGCCTGCAGCACACAACACAAAAGCCTCGCACAGCATGTGGTAATTATCTTCGTCTGTTAGGACAATTGGAATGTAAAGTTGCTTTCCGGGATTCGTCGTTTACTGGGGTATGCTATATAACGCCAGCTGATCTAAATTTACTTGGTTTAGATTGGTTCGACCAGCTAAAATTGGCTGATGTCCCGCTAAATACCATATGCAGCCTGGTATCACAACGACATGACCCAGAAGCGCATACGAAGAAGCTGATGACAGAGTTTTCAACCATTTTTGAACCTGGATTAGGTCGGTGCACTGCTATGAAAGCAACACTTCGGTTGAAACATGGGGCTAAGCCTGCTTTTCGTCCAAAGAGACCTGTACCGTATGCTACATTAGCAACAGTAGATGAAGAGCTGGATCGCCTTCAACGACAAGGAGTTATTACTCCCGTTTCTTACTCCAGTTGGGCAGCACCTATAGTCGTTATCAAGAAGGCCAACGGCACGATACGTATATGTGCTGACTTCTCTACAGGTCTCAACGCAGCTCTAGAACAGCATCATTATCCTCTGCCAGTCCCGGCAGATCTGTTCACTATGCTGAATGGGGGAAAGTTCTTCGCAAAGCTTGACCTAGCTGATGCTTATTTGCAAGTGGAAGTCGATGAAGCATCTAAAGAGCTGCTTACTATCAACACTCATCGCGGTTTGTTTCAGTATAACCGTCTACCTTTTGGAGTTAAGACTGCGCCGTCTATCTTCCAACAACTAATGGATACAATCCTGTCAGATATCCCAGGGGTTGCAGCTTATCTCGATGATATCTTGATTGTTGCGAAGACGTTAGAACAGCTACGGGAACGCACGACATTGGTACTACAACGCATCAGTGACAATGGTTTCCGGTTACGCCCAGAAAAATGCCAGTTTCTATTGCAGTCGGTAAAGTATTTGGGATTTATCTTTGATGCCGACGGTCGCAGACCGGATCCTGAAAACATCCGAGCTATCAAACTGATGCCTACTCCCACTAATGTTTCCGAATTACGATCTTTTCTCGGTTTGATCAGTTATTATTCAGCTTTTGTTCCCTCGATGCATGATATTCGCGCTCCATTGAATTGTCTACTGCAGAAGCATAGCACATGGAACTGAAATAAAGAGTGTGACGCGGCTTTTGGTAAACTCAAGTCTATAATTAGCTCGGAATTGTTATTAACACACTACGATCCATCCATGC